TTTAAAATAAAACATAACTTCGTCTTTTTTAAATTAAAACATTACGATAAACATTTAATGGCTATGATATGTTAAAAATAATAGAATGTAAGTACCTACATGAAATAATTATTTTGTTGTAAAACCGATTATGAATTTCTTAAATTTTAATTTGAGTGTTACTAATTACTATATACTAACTACTATAGGTCAGATACGAATCTAAATAAGTAATTTGTTATTAATTAACTTTCCTTAGTGCTACCTACTTATAATGTCCACAATTATTACTACCTATTTGAATTTGTGGTACGTTTAAGTACTGTGCACAAATTTATTTAAATGATCAGTTTTCGCCAGTAGTTTGAAGTTGAACACATATTAGAATAAAACGATATTCATACTACCTCGTTGATTAATGGTGATAGTAATTTTATTATAGTTTTATTTATTATACATACTATTTTTAAATTATTTACACTACGAATTTGTGATTCCCACTAATTTATGGTATGCAATATTAAATTTTATTTGCATAGTTCAGAACAATAATATTATGATGATTGATGATACAATAGTTATGTTATAATACATGGAGTGTTCTTGGCAAAAATCAGTTCAAAGTATATTACTGAAAGAAAAATAAATAAAACATCCTTAGAAATGGAGTTAACCAGTTTCCGCTCATAATAGTTTTTCGTATGCAATTATATGTATCATTGTAGAATTTAAATTCAACACATCCATTACAGTGACCAGTATCAAAGATGATGTACCCTGGGAACCTACAATAAAACAGAGCGAATGCCTTGGTTTTTAATAAATGTTATTTGTATGACAATAAAAAAAAAATTATTACCTATGGTCCATATATGGTTTTAGCTATACATTTAACACCATTATGGCACTAATGGTATAAGAAAATAAAAGTTAAAATTTGTTACTATAATAGATATTTATTACAACTGCCTTCCTTCGACCACCATACAATTATTCAATCATCAATTAAAATTAATTATTAATTATATTATAAATACATATTATTTGTAATAAAATGTTCAAATTATCATTTAAATATCAAATGTTATTTCTGGATTAAATATTAATTTCATAAGTAATTTAAAAATAAAAAAATAAAATACTTTTATTCAATATCTAATAGGTACCTATGGGTAATTCTTTAAAAATGTTTGTCCTCACTAGAAGTGCCCTACTTATGAACAGGAACATTTTGGCCACACTAGTGATACAGGAATTAGTCGTATTAGATGACTGGAGAAGTGAATTCTTTATAATCTACATATTTATAGGCTACCGAAAGTATATTGTAATATAAATGTAAACTATTATTGTATAGCAGAGTTCCAAAAACAAAACAATACATCTATAAAAGCAAAATATGCTGGTATCGCTATCATGCCATCGTCAAGTATTTGTATACATGATTTAGGTATAAACTTATTCGCATGCTCGTGAGTTATAAACAAAATATATATTATAAATTATAATTTCATTGTATCGACCGAATCTTCCATATTTTGTCTCAGTCGAAAGTAATTATTATTTTCGTTTAAATAGTATTATGTTATTTTATTATCGTGGTGTTTTCCGTGCACAATCATAAAAACGAATAGCACAAATAATACTTAATACGTAAAATTACCAACATTATTATAATATGTATAAATTACGATAAAATACCTATTACGTCAACGTCTTGTCTTGTTATAAATTATATTGATAACAAGCGACACACAGAATATCGTCAGATATTTCATGATAATTTTTTTTTTTGACGAATTTTCTAGTTAAGTACAGTTTTAAAGGAGTTATTAGGGAGTTCCTATAGGGTAGTTACCTATTTAGAAAGTTTATCAAAATTGACTGCACCTATAGTGTATGTCAAAAATGACAATTTGTGAAATAGTGTATTAATTAAAATATCCATAGTTCATCAAAACTATTTTTGTTTGAATAAAATGTATTTTTGGTTCGGTTTGTGTTGTAACAAGATTTTAAGGCTGGTAGGTACACGGCGATATACTGCACTATAATACATCACGATGCCTACAACAGTGCTGTAGTAATAACCAGGTTGAAATAAATGTGTAATTTAGTTCGATGTGTTGAGGTACAATGGATCTATAGTTGTAGATTTTACTAAAAATTCTTATTGTGGTAGTGGGGTAAATATAAATTCAAGATTGAGGGGCTCCATCTGTTCTTGCTAATTGAACAAATGTTAAATTTATTATCTACTACTTACTGGTTATTGACAACGGGATTACCAGTAAAATACGTCAAAATTCCGACAGGAAAAGAAATAAATGAACCACCAAAATTTTTTATTTTTTAAGTTTTTTAAAATTATCCTGAACCCCTTAAAGAAATGAATTTCTGACCCCTGATTTATACTTACTCTATAGTCTATACTGGGGATGCCAAATATATGGCATGCTGGTTAAATTTTAAAGGTTCGGGGAAACATTTTAATTTCATTGTTTGAACTTGCATTTCATGAAAAAAATCTTTAATATTTTAAAAGCTGTTAATTATAAAAAATTTGGAAATCACTGATTCAATGCTTGCAGAAATAATATTTTGTTTATTTGTAAAAAAAGGTTCATTCCAAAAATAACTCAAGATACATGGGCACATGAAAGTATATTTTTGCTATTAATTAATTAAAATCAAAACGGACGAATAATAAATTGTTGCATGAAGGTATAATGCTATTTAAGTTTCATTATAACATATAAGATTTAACAGAATACACAACTGATATAAAAAATGTCAATTTTGTTTAGTTGTTATCATTAAATGTTTGAAATCAAAAGTTGAAAAAATTAGATGCCCGTTGCACCCCTCGTTTACATTGCACGTGACTTTGGATAAGTACTTACTCACGGTTTATTATTGTTATAATTAATGAATTTATAAATTTATATATTATATATCGGAATATTGGAAACAATGGTTTTACTCAAATACTTTATAACACTACAGATCATAACCTCTCAAAAATGTAATATCTATAATATTATTAGCCTGAGACTGAGGACTTCTCTATAGTAGGTATTTTAAAAAAAATCAAAATATGTATGCACGTATACATTTAAAAAACAAAAATATGACCTAAGTAAATTTAATATTTAAAATATGATACACACCTAAATTATAATAGTTAAATGAAAAAAAATATATTTTGATTAATTACCCAATAAAAACATGGAGAATTAATTGCTTTCGTATTTTTCTTCATTCCCTTTAACGCGATAAATTATGACAGACAACTGAACTGCACTTCCTACACACGTCTAGGTGCTATCGGTTAGATATAGTGAATTGCATAACCGATAATTTATAGGTACACATTTGGAAAATAATATTTATATACAGATTGTTATTATGTTATAGCAAGGATTCGGATTTGAAGGTAATATAAAAAATAATAAGAGCACTTAAAATGTAAAAAAGGTATTTTAATATTAATATTTATGTACAAAAAAAACTAAAAATGTAAAAGGGTTTTAACAATTACCTATCTAATTTGTGTTAAAAAAAAAATGTTCGACCTTATATTTCGACAAGCTGTTTTCGGTAAATCATTGGTTATTGACTGTTTGAACTTAAAATATTTTGTGTATAACAAATGACACACCCATGTGATGTGGCTATGTGAATACTTTCTACTATATTCTAGTCATTACAAGTTTTTGTAAGCATAACCTCTACAACGTGTAGTTTTTGTAAGATTTATTGATTTGTACCGTAAAAACAAATAAATTTATGGGGATCAAGTGATAATTTAAAAAAGTAAAAATAATGTTTGCCTTTCATCATAGAAATGAAATGAAACACATTTTTTAAAAGAGTTATTTTTCTATTTTTATCCAAAACAAGAAGGCATTTTTCTTCAAATCTGAACCATAATTATAACATTAGGTACCTATATCTATTTTATCTAGTGCCGTATCCAGATATTCTTTCGGGGAGAAGTTCATTTTTTTCCTGTAGTTTTTGAAGAACCTCCTCCCTGGTTACGGCACGGCAGGTTTTATCTAATCTCAAAATATTACAAATTTGTAACCCATAGTATGCTCTTAATATTTTATTTAATATAATATTCGAGTAGCTGCAGGTATGCATTTATAAGCAATAACGACAAAATATGCAAGATTATTATTCAATCTTAAACATAACCTCCGCGTGTCTCGAAACATATTTATACATCCCTCAAATATTTGTTCTGGGACTTTTCTAGACAAACGCGAATAAACTAGAAGTCCTCGGTAATAATTATTACAAATTAATACATTATATAGACAACTCCGGCGAGTACTCCAAGCCTGCTGCGGGCTTATACAGTATAATATTGTATCTACTGAACGTCATTTGAACACGATCTTCCATAAAAATAATTATTTATTTTAACATTACAACGCACATAGAGTTGTAGTGCTCGAGTATAATACTATTATTAAGTGTAATCATATTATATAGGTGGATAGGTAGGTGCTCGCGAGTATGTCATGCCTATATATTATAATATACGATCGTACGCCTGCCGCCTGTTTAAATACGTTCGACGAGGTGGAAGGGGTTGATGGGGTATAGCGAGGGGGGTTGGCAAGTCTCTCGTAAAGTGCGTTTACCAGGTATATACTGCATCGAAACACCATAATATAATAATCATATCGACGTGTGCTCGACGAGCGCATAATATAATGTACCTAGTTTTATAAGCGCGGCGGTGCGCGGTGCAGGTACCTACATATATATAGCGACTGGTTATATATTATATTTAAAAAAAATAATTACGACGATAATAATATAATGTCGTCGCCGACCTGCTGCGAGACGAGAAGCGTGGGGGGGGAATAAATAAATAACAGAAATCGGTTGATAGGGAAAGCTCGCCGCCGCGGTCGTGATGCGCTGCCGAATCAGGTATAGGGGCGGATTCTCCGTTATCGAACTGCTGTACGCGCGTGCACTGTGTTTACCCGACGCGGCACTGCAGAACGTTCTGTTTGTCGTCAAACTCGATCTGAATAGTAAAAAAAATTAATTTTTACACGCGTTTATTGTACTATCATATCACCGCACAATCGCCGCCGCCGCCGTTTTGCATTCGCTAAAAAATTTTGAACATCAATAACAACTTATAATAATACCTACAACAATGATGAAATAAAAACGTTGCAATATTGCATTATAATACCGTTACAACAATACCATGTTGTCGTTGTTTTTGTTGTTGTTGTTGTCGTCGTTACATAGCCGCGCCGCAGTTTGTCGTGGTTTTTAGGTTTTTTTTTTCAAAACCACATACTCATATTATATTGTGAAACAATTACGACACGTGCTCTGTTTTTTCTCTCGCGACTAACGTTCGGAAATTTTAATCCGCGGTCCGCGTTTGCCATAGTAATAATATCGTACCGGCCAACCGTCTACCGAACGCACCATGCCGCGCCTATTTCGAACGTCCGTCGGTCTGCGGGACCGGTGACTTGAACACCGGACGTTTCAAAAACCAAACGGTAAGAGCACGACGATGACGATGTATTTCGGAAACGTAAAAAGCAGTTGTCCCGGCAGACGTTCCCATACGTGACCTTGGAATCGAATAATTATTGTATTTGTATTAGGTATTAAACGAGTTTTCGGACACGTCGTACGATATATAGGTAAGGTATACCAACCTATAGCAACATAACAACAAACGGTAGGCATATGCGGTGAAGTCGCAGACGACAAAGTTACCGGGTATACTGGATTGTACCACGCGAGGCCCAACTCTGATCTTCGTTGAGTTATTACGTATAGTAGAGAGTTCGACCAAAATCGTAAAAACGCTTAAATTATGATGATTTATGAAAAATCTTTCGTGTTTTTATTCGTCGCAATTAAGCATATTATAGGAAAATGAAATTCTCGCTTTTCCATTGTTTTAACGATGACCAATAAGACAAATTAACGTCCAGAGCAAAATATGATGTTTTGTTGGAGGACTATAATAGTAAAATAAAAAACCACCTACCAACCAATGCCCGATGTGTTCGGTATAAAAGATCGATAAGGAATGCATCTACGAACAATTATTGCTGTGCCCTGTGTCTTGCACTCGCACCCATCGCAGTCCACTGCACAGGTCGCGGTATAGTTTTTATAGCCGTATAAAAGAAGGTGTGAAGGGCACGCAATGCCATGCCTATAATATCATTATTTATTATATTATTCATTTTCGACCACTGCAGCGGCCGAGTGACAGAAAATATAATAATCATAAAATAACATCATCGCGACGGCCAATAGAAATTTATTATTATTAATGTATACCTACACGCGCAAAGAGAGAGACTCGTCGTGTAGATCGGCCCGGAGAACTCGTCGGTAGAAACTGGACTCGCCAGCGGGATAGACGAAAATTATAATAATAATATTATTATGTTTATTCGGACGGGCGTGGAGATAAGCTCGCTTAGGAATCCCAACCAGATGTGCACGTGCAGTGTTGTGCACTAACGTTGGAATTTTTTTTTTACCCATACTACTCGTGTGTACCTATATAGCTTACTTGGCCTATAATACGCTTATAGGCCGACGTCGCTGTCAAAATATCTACATTTTATAAACTGCATTATTAAATACACATTATAATGTAGGTAGGTAGGTTATAGGTACATATCCATTGGGCATAGATATTTTAAACGACGACTGACTCTACGCGATACGAACGAAACATATAACGCTGTCGTTTTGTTGAGGTGTCAGCTAGGTATACGAACGACAGACTTCTAAAAAATACTTTTGAAATTGTTTTTAAACACAGATACAAGTACAGCCTTTCAGAAATTATTTGAAATTTTTTTAAGAAAAAGTATTTAAGAACAAATACAAAATAAAATCGGCATGTACCTATTTCAATACTTTTCAAATATTTTTTTTTAATTTTACTTATTTAACTGTACAAGTAATTACGATAGTAAACTTTTAACTACTAATTCAGTGTTGCATTGTCAAAATTAAGTTTCATTACCTACTTAATTTTATGATGAAAAAAGAAAATAAATAAAAATGGGTAATATTTTAACTAAAAAATGTTTTAGTATTAATTACTAAACAATAAACGTTTGTCAATGAAATATAAAATAAAAGTTTAATAATTTGGTTTTAATCATAAACACAATAATATACTGATTATCAATAAACAATCTGAAATGTCACAAATAATTCTTTTGAATTTTGAAAAGTATTTGATTTTCAAATACATATACCTACTTCTTTGAAGACATTATTTAAATACATTTACTCAAATAATTTAAGCACTGAATTAAATGATGTTAAAAATGTATAAAAGTTGTGCGTAGACAAGTTAAAAAGTTAAGTTAAATAATTAGTTAGTTGCATATCTAAAAAAACTTATTTGCATTTAATTTGTATTAATTTAACTTTCAACATAATTGATTTTTATTGATATTAACTTAATAAATATGATCTACTTTCAATAAAATTCAATAGTTACGTTAATTTATAAATAATAAAATAATAAAATAATTTTTCATGGTACATGAAGCTTAACCGAGCTTAAAAAAATTTGAATATTAACTTTAAACTTTTCAATTTTTTTATCAATTTAACTCAACTACTTGGCTAGCTTTGCGTATATTATATTATACTTTACAATGTGCGGTGGGTATTATAATATTCTATTTATAATGTATTTATTTTCCTGAAATGCATAATTTGACAAATCCGGGAGCTTAGACGGTTTCATTCCACCACGTATATACTGACTACTGGTTATTATTATGTTATGCATCTAAACAGCATATTATACGCTAACTAAAAATATTGTAGACGATAAAAAACACTTATTTCCTTTTGTGTAGTTATAATTATTAGGGGTGTTTGTATTACAAGTATAAATATTCTTATGATGTATATCACGAATATTATTAGGAGTACATTTTCATAGCAATCGCGAGGTATTCGTCGTTTCGAGTCGATCGTATTTTTCTTTTATCAATTTGAAACCGTCTTGTTGCTTAATAGTTATTACTAGAAGTCTAGAACAGAGGGCTTCTAACTTATAAAGTTCTCAAATATGAATGCTCTTAAACGTTCAAAAACAAAAATATGCTCTAAAAAAATGTAATACACAAAATACTAAATATATTGCCTAAATACATTTATTTATTGGAGAAAAAATAATTAGTAAAAACTTGAAAAATTAATTGCTTTTTTCTTCGTTTCTTCTAAGCAATAAATTATCACCAGTCAACCGGTCAACTGGAGTTCATATCCTCCTGTGTTATCGGCCAGATGATGAATATTACCTAACCGATAATATTACTATTAAAATAACATATAAATACTGGTTTTGAAAATTATTTTTTTTTTTACACAGAACGTTATATGTCAAATACACACTTATATTTAAACCATTACACCCATCTATAATATCAACATTTTCCTAACGTGTGCTATTTGCTCTTAATTCGTATAATATAGGTACCCGAATATGCAAAATACATTTCTAAATAATAAAACCTCTTCATCGTGTTACGAAAAACATATTTATACTTAACTCGAATTTATCAGGGACAAATACAAGAAAAAAAAACTACAAGTGTTCGCCTCTACTTACACCTAAGTCAAATAACATCCAGGCGAGGGTTTATTTTTATTTACTCATGCATTTACCCACTTATTTTACTTAGGTAGGTACCTATACTACACCCAACGTACATATTTATACATATTATTATGATATAAAATATATATATCTACTATACTATTATTATTATAGTATCGAGTTCAAGTCGTCGAAATATTTTTATTTGTCCGCAATCGTTTCGTGCGTCGCCCGCCTATACGATTCACGTCGACGTGCCGTGATGTAGGCAATATACACAATATCATAAATATATATGTATATATACAATGCACCTAAGTGTGTGGGCGTGTGTGTGTGTGTGCGTGTGTGTGTGTGTACGACAACGAACCATTTAATGACCAAACGTGTTTGTTATTGATGATGATAAACGGTCGCATCTATGGCAACGGGCGATGATGTTATACCTGCGCTACCTATATATATATATATATAACAATAATATCGTGTATTATTACGACGCCGGGATACGCAAAACGAATCGCTAGAATAATGTGACTACGACGTGAAACCTATTTTCCCCGGTGTGTTCCCCGCGCGCGCGTGCGGGGTAAAAAACACGCGTCGCCGCGCCTCCGGCCAAAGTATAATAATATTATACGACATATCCGATACATAAGTATGACGTTCGGTTGAAGAGTTTTTTTTTGTTTTTGTCCGTGTGACACGTTCTCGAATAGTCTACAAAATAATATAAAAGCCGTGTCGTTGCCGCGCAGAAATCGTTTCAGCCACATGTATTGAGATGATGGGTGGTGGGTACGTGATATATAGAGGTACGTCGAACGACCACAGGACGATGTAGCCCGCAGTTGAGAATAATATGACAAATCGTGAGTAAATCATAGGCATCTAATATACATTCAACGATTAAACGGTAGTTCTATAATAGTATAATACACTAATTAGTAATTATAATAAATAATAGGTATCGGTGTATGACTATATTCACTACACTACATAAGATACTACTTTAATAGATTTAAAAATATTATCCAACGATTACAATTTATTATTGCCGCGACCCGTGGCGTATATAGGATTTTTTTCTAGGGGATAATAATAAGACGAAAATCATTTTGCACATTAGGAAGCAGAGGGGACTGAATTCCCTAGGATAATCCACGGATCTTATAATTTTAAATTTCCAGTATTGACAATATCACCAACACCATCAACAACACTTTTCTATTAAATAGTTCCAACAAAAGTTTTTAAAGAAAAATAAATTAAACTAAATTAACAGAGGGCTTGAAATCAGAATGAAATTTTTGATTTAAATATTTAAATTTCGATACTTGTTTTTCTGATTAAAATTTAGAACAATACATGGTTATTATAATTTTATGATTTTTATATTGTTTCAAAATGTTGATTTATTTGTAGGTATTATTATTTTTGATGTGGTTTTTTTACATAATTTTTTTTTTTCGACTTAAAAGGTTTATATTACATTTTTACAATTTTAATTTAGATTTCTGGATGGATGAACAGCGAGAAACTTATCATCGTTTCCGAGGCTGTGTAATAGGCATAAGAAAATGAAATATCAGTGATTTATCATTAGTCATAACTATTGTTCGGGACTTTTTGCACTTAAAATTATCGAAATATGCACCTAATTTTTTATTTTGTTTTTAAAAAACGTAAGATATATTATAAATTATTATTATAAAAATAAAAATTTAAAAATTAAGGACGTACTTAATATAAGAAAAATAATTTTTACACGGGTTACTCATCTCCATCTGTATCAACCTAGAATTCATTAGGTTTTACCACAACTACACGATTGTCGATAAAAAGGTTGATTATTAAGCGATAAAGAGACTATCATCGTAAACGGACGTACGTGTTAGATAC